ACACCCCCACCCCCGCCATACCCCAAGCTCTCTTCCTCTCCTCAGTCCTTCCTATTCCCTGAGACACAGCAATATTGAAATGAGGCCAATTAATAACTTTACAATGGCCTCAAAGTGTTCAAGTGAAAGAAAGAGTTGCATATCTTTCACTTTAAATCAAAACTAGAAATGATTAACTAAGTGAGGAAGGCATGTCGAAAGCCAAGATAAGGCCAAAGACTAGATCTCTTGCACCAAACAATCGGCCAAGTTGTGAATGCAAACTTGAAGGAAATTAAAAGTGCTACTCCAGAGAACACATGAATGATAATGAAACAAAACAGCCTTAGGGCCGGCCGAGTGGCTCAGTTGGTTAAGAGCTCGCTCAAGAGTTTGAGCTCTGAGCAACAGCGGTTCGAGTCCAGCCCAAGCTGAGTAGCCGCTGAGCTGCCAATAGGTAGCAGGATGGCTCAGCTAAAAAAAAAACAAAAACAAACAAACAAACAAAAACAGCCTTATTGCTTGCTGATATGGAGAAAATTTAACTTGTCTGGACAGAAGATCAAACCAGCCACAGCATCCCTTAAACCAAAGCCTAATCCAGAAGAAGGCCTTAGCTCTCTTCAATTCAGTAAAGGCTGAGAGAGGTGAGGAAGCTGCAGAAGGACGTTTGAAGCCAACAGAGGCTGGTTCATGAGGTTTAAGCAAAGAAGCCATCTCTATAACATAAAAGTTCAAGGTGAAGCATCAAGTGCTGATATAGAAGTTCCTGCAAGTTATCCAGAAGATCCAGCTAAGATAATTCATGAAGGTGGATACCACAAACAACAGATTTTCAATGTAGACTTAAAAATAACCACAACACCACCACCAGCAAAATGGAGTTGATGTTATCAAGACAGCAATCTAAAATGGAACTGGGAGGCCTCTGGAAAGCTGAGCCAACTCACCCCCCCTTTGTGAAACTGAACATTTGAACTGGGCTAAACCACAACAGCTACATCCTAATACATTTCCTGGAACTGGCTCAGCATCACTGAAATTTCTATTAAAAAATAAAATTTTCACCTAGCAATAGACATAAGCAATTAATCATGTAGATAGCATAGTGTGAGTCGGCTTGCCAGCACTAATGACGGCTCTTTCAAAGAAACTCAGGTAATCCTTTCAAAGCCCCACATTTTCTGTCTTTATAGACTCTGTCCCTTTGTTTCCCTGTTGGAACACAGTTGGGGTTTCTACCCAAATCTGTGTCTCCTGGATTACAATTCTTAAAAAAAGGCCCCCAAGTAAAACTTTTGTTTGCCTTGCAGTTCTTATTCAAAATTGATTGACAAGACAAAACAGCCTTATACTGGAAGAAGAGTCCATCTAGAAATTTTATAACTAGATAGAAGTCAAACCTGGATTCAAAGCTTCAAAGGACAGGCTGAATTTCTTGCTAGAGGCTAATGCAGCTGGTGACTTTAGGTTGAAGCCAATGATCATTTATCATTCCAAAAATCCTACGGCCCTTAAGAATTATGCTAAATCTACTCTGCCTGTGGTCTATAAATGGAACCACAAAGCCTGGATGACAGCACACCTGTTTACAACATGGTTTACTGAATATTTTAAGCCCTCTGTTGAGACCTACTACTCAGCGAAAAAGATTCCTTCCAACTTAATACTGCTCATTGACAATGCACCTAGTCACCCAAGAGCTTTGATGGAGATGTACAATGAGATTAATGTTGTTTTCATGCCTGCTAACACAGCATTCATTCTGTAACCATGGATCAGGGAGTAATTTTGACTTTCAAGACTCTTGTTACCTAAGAGATACATTTTGTAAGGCTATAGCTGCCATACATAGTGGTTTCTCTGATGGATCTTAGCAAAGTAAATTGAAAACCTTTTGGAAAGGATTTACCGTTCTAGATACTATTAAGAACATATGTGATTCATGGAAAGAGGTCAAAATATCAACATTTGCAGGAGGTTGGAAGAAATTGATTCCAGCCATCATGGATGATTTTGAGACATTCAAGACTTCAGTGGAGGAAGTAACTGCAGATGTGGTGGAAACAGCATGAAAACTAGAATTAGAAGTGGAACCTGAAGATGTGACTGAATTGCTGTAATCTCATGATAAAACTTCAGGGGATGCGGAGTTGCTTCTTACAGAATAGCAAAGAAAGTGTTTTCTTGAGATAGAATCTACCCCTGGTGAAGATGATGTGAAGACTGTTGAAATGACAACATGGGTTCTAGAATATTACATAAACTGAATTGATAAAGCAGCAGCAGGGTTTCAGAGGACTGATTCTAATTTTGAAAGAAGTTCTACAGTGGGTAAAATGCTATCAAACATCATATCCCATGCTACAGAGAAATTGTTTGTGAAAGAGAAAGTCGATCAATGCTGCAAACTTCACTGTTGTCTTATTTTAAGAAATTGCCACAGCCACCTCAGCCTTCAGCAACCACCACCCTGATCAGTCAGCAGCCATCAACAATGAATGAGGCAAGACTTCCCACCAGCAAACGTATTATGATTTGTTGAAGGCTCAGATGATGGTTAGCATTTTTTAGCAATAAAGTGTTTCTTAATTAAGGTATGTACATTGTGTTTTTTAGACATAACGCTATTACACATTTGAAAGACCACAGTAGAGTGTAAACATAACTTTTTTTTTTGGGAAGATTTTATTGAGGAATTGGGGAAGGGGAACAGTGTTGGGGAATCAGGGAAGGGGAACAGACAAGTTGCTGTCCCTTTTGTTCTTCAGTCTAGTTGTAGAGGACATCGCTTCACTGGCCCATGTTGCTATTATCATTGCGCTCTTCCCGGGTGAGGCAATCAGTTGCTGGCCAACAGACGGCCGCTCACGGCGGCTCACGGAAGCTCATGGCAGCTGCTGGCCGCTCACGCTGGCTGCCAGCCACTCACGGTAGTTCATGGCAGCCCACTGCAGACCTGCTGCAGCCTACACCGTTGCTGGCGACTCACGGCAGCCCAGCTCCAGGTCAAGCTGTTGTTCACCATCTTAGCTGTAGAGGGCGCAGCATCACTGGCCCTCATGTGGGATCCGAACCACAGCCCTGCTGCTCAGAGCCGGCGTCCCAAGCCAACTCTTAACCAACACGCCACACGGCCAGCCCTAAACATAACTTTTATATGCACTAAGAAGCAAAAAAAATTTCTTGACTTGCTTTATTGTGATATTTGCTTTATTGTGGTAGTCTGGACCCAAACCCGCACTATCTCCCAGTTATGCCTGTATATGCCTGTTGGTTGGTGACAGCTTCATGCATCTGAACTAGAAAACTGAGAGGATCTTTGACTCTGTTCTCTTCCTCAAGCCCCACACTCAGTGGTTCACACTCTGTGTCTAGTCTCACTGCACTGCTCTGGCCCGTGCAGCCGTCATTTCCTGTTCGGGCTGTGGACCTGCCTTCAGTCCCCACCTTCCACACCATCGTTCACACTGCAGCCAGTGTGCTCTTTCGCCATCATAAATAGGGTTTAATTCCCTTGACTGAAACTCATCACAAAATCTAAAGCCTAAGCTCCTAGGCACGCCAAGCTGTATAGGAGTAGGTACCTCTCTGAATCTCCAGCCAGCTCTCACTCCCAACAATGATCAGCATTTCGGGCTCAGAACACATGTTTTGTGCCTCCTTTTTTTGGCTCATGACACCTGTGTGATTTTGAAGTCTATTCATCTTTGCGATTCCCTGCCACTTAGTAAGTCTGTGGAACAAGGAAGATTATCGATAAGATGCCCACTGAATTGAATAAAGATTTTTCCAGGTGGAAATGAGGCAACATGTAATATTCTAGGACGTGGAAGCTGAGCCAAGCTAGGCTGTGTAAATGCTCACGTATGGAGCCCGTCACTTGCAGAAGGAATAAGGGGCTCACCACAGGATCAGGCCACTCAGTGTCAAATGTGATACTATGTGGAATGGACTGTATCCTATAGGCATTATCAAAAATAACTGAGGAGAGTAATAATATGATAACTCTAACAATCATTTAGAGAATGAAAGGGAAACACATACTAGAGACAAGGATGACACAGGGGCAATTCAGTGAGAGGAAGGGAAAGGGGCAATAAAGGGATAGCACGTATTAAGCATCTAGCATATGCCAGGTACTTTATATACCAAATTGCACTTTAATCCTCACAGTAAGCATGTGTGGCGGGTACTCTCATCCCCTGGAATGGAATGGAACAGGAAACAGAGATGCAGAGGACTTAAGGAGCCTGTGAAAGGTCACACACTCAGAAAGTGGCAGTGCCAGCTGGGATTTAAACTTGCACCTGTCTCCAAAGCCCATGCATTTTCTACTACACACACTGCTGAGAGACAGAGCCCTACACCAGGGGCAGAGGGAATGAAGGAAGAGAAAGACTCCAGATACAACTCAGAGTAGAAACCACGCTGAGCAGCCGGAACCGTAAACCTGGGGACAGTTACCCCAAGTAAAGGATTGCTGGGAAAAAAGAGCTCAGAAGTTTGATGCACACATGCTGAGTCTGGCTAGTGGGCCTTGTCCAGGGAGCTTTCCAGCAGATAATGAGAAAAATGGATGCATGTCGGAGCTGCTGGCTGGGAGAAACTGAAGCTAAGGGAGTGGGTGAAACTGCCCAAGGAGACTGTGGATGGAGCAAGAGAGGGGGGGCTGCGTTTCAGGGAGCTTGCACCCTGCAGGGGAGGGCAGAGGCAGAGGGGCCAGGTCTCTGACTGGCTCAGGGACAGCAAGGGGGTCAGGTGACAGCGCAGTTGTGGAACAGAGTTTGAGATGGATTGCTAACAAAACAGTTCGTTTCTCATCTACAGCTTTCCAGGTACACATACCTGCTTCTGAGCAACAGAGTTTTTCAAATGCTTCATCTGTATAATCCTTACACTCCTTTACACATTTATTTTCCTGAAACTTCATGCCGTCCTCAAAGGTCAAAGTTTCATTTAGTATATCCGTGGCCTAAAGCAATTCCATGGTGTTTCATGAGAAACAAGCCATGTTTTGAAAGAAAAAAAACAGTTTAATAAAAGTTTTTTGTGTTCCCAGTAATAGCATTTACCAAGATATACGCATATGGCAAGTATTCAATTAATATATATTAAGCAAATAAATCAACCAAGTTTTAAAAGTGGAATTATGTTGGAACAAGATAGAAACAAGAGTTTTTTCATTTCTTTTCCTTGCCAATAGTGATAAGCACTGAGTATATGGCAAATTCATTTTATCCAGCCTTCCTGTCTTCAGTATTACTCTGCTGCAGTTCATTCGACAGAATTCTCAAGGTTGTCTCCTCCACGCCGTTTTAAGGATACAATATGCCTAATCGGGTCCCTGAAACTGCTCCTAATACTCCATAAAAAATGATCACTCTGTTTCAAGCATATCAAAGCAGAGAATAACAAAGGATGAACGCTCTGGTAGATAAGCCTTTTCTGACTCTATTGTTTTATTCCAGCAGGCCAACTTTAGCGCCTCACTTCACAGAAGCTCTCCTCAGGTTCCAACCCAGAAACTGTCCCCTATCTGTATCCCTCTGATACAGACCAGAGATACTTAGAAGCGTAATGGTTAAATAAACAGAGGTCAGTGCTAACTATCACCACTTTAATGAAGTTTTAAGTAGCAAAATGCTAGTAAAAATCTGAAAGATAAGTGGAGCACAGAGGATTTTTAGGGCAGTGAGAATACTCGGCATGACACTATAATGATGACTACATGTCATTACACATTGGTCCAAACACCAAGAGTGAACCCTAAGGTAAACTACAGTTTGTGGGTGATTATGATGTGTTAGTGTAGGTTCATCAGTTACAACAAATGTTCCACTCTGGTGGGGGATGTTGATGGTAGGCAAGGCTGTGCATGTGTGGGGACCGGGGAATATGGAAAATCTCTGTACCTTCTGCTCGATTCTGCCGTGACTGCTCTAAAATATGAAGTCTATTAAAAAAAAAATGGTCCTTCACCACACACACACACACACACACACACACCTGAAAGAAATGGTAACATTAAGAAGTTTTATGCTAATAAAGAACACTAAAGAAAGAAACTGAGTATGTGTATGATGTAGAACATGTATACACACATATTTAACTTTTGGCACTTTAAAAGACAAATTTGGAGAAGATGAAATGAAAACACAAATCAGTTAATTTTGATATTTGTTAGCAGGCCTGGTAAAAAGTGAGATTAAAAAAGATGTTGAACTCAAGTAATAAAATGAGGTTTGAGTTCACTGTAATTGTGCATTTATTGCTGTACCAATGAGAGCCCAAATGCATAATTGAGATTTACCCAAGGACCAGTACAAAGTTATCAATAACTAAGACCTAAAATAAATGTGCATGGTTTCAGGGTATCTGCTCAATTTTTTAGGTAAGTATATTAGTTGTTGACTATGAATTATATCTGCTATTTTAATTTGGCTATGATACAAAGTTAATATTATGAGGAAAATGAATCCTTTATAAAAAAAATTAAATTGAAATAATCCATTTAAGAGAATAACCTCAATTTAAAAAAGAATGGAAGGATAAAAAGTATTTTGGAAGATTCATTTGAACACTAGAGATTCTATTAGGAAAATTTAAGAAAATTCTCCCTACTTGTTATGGAAAAACTTCATGAAACATGCTACTAAGACACTCATTTTCTCATGCCTACTACTGGAAGTATACACTTAATGACATACCTCTTCCTCTTTGAAGGCATTTTCATCAGAAATACATTTGTCTAAATTAATTTCAAACTTTACCCCTCTCTAGAAGAAAGCAAGAAAAAAAAATCTTAGTTTAGAAACCCAATAAAAACCTTAAAATTATAACTCCCTATTTGACATTATAGATAATTAAAACCAATAGTCTAACATCACAAAATAAAGCAATTCCATAAAACAGAAGGGGGAAAATATCCTGTAGCAACCCAGATTGCAAGGTATGGACCCCACTGGCATCCCCAGCCAGCTTTTTAATATGAAACCAAAAGACAAAATGTTTATTACCTTAGCTTTACATTTTTGTTCTGGAATTTTACTTTCTTTTATGTTCTGAAGTCTAATTTGTTTCAAGGCTCTTTCAATATCCTGAAAGTTCAGAGAAAAATTAAAATATAGCATTTAATATTGATCAAACAATTATATTTTTACAACCCCTAAATTCACAGCATGGTATGTTTACATTGTTTGATTTCTGGATTGAATCCAATGATTGATTTGAGAATAAAAACATGCTTTTAATAATAATTCACTAAAACTTAGGGACAGTGTCCACTAACTCAAAATATTAATATATTTAATACTGGCATCTCAATGGGTACAATTCTATAATATGACAATATTTATCACTCCGGTCCAGTCTACTACAACCTAATTTAATTCAAGAATGTAATTTTGACTATAGGATCCTTTCTTAAGAGATTTATGATCTTAATCAGGAAAACAAGAAAAGCACAGAGCTCATGACAGTATAAGAGGAAGGAGAGGGCTCTAAAACTTGACAGGCAATTTCAAGGGAGAAGAAAAGAAGATTGTAAAAGTAGAGGACAAGAATTTCAAAGAAACAGTTGAGAGGTGAACTTTAAATGCTGAACTTCCTCAGGGTTTGGCCTTGGGCCCTCTGCCCCTTTCTTCCTTAATACAAGGGGGTCTCAGTAATTCTTATGGATTTAAAAGCCATCTTTATACAATGACTCTTAATGTTACCTTCAAATCAAATCTTTCCTCCCCTCTGAGTTTCAGGCTCACATATTCCACTACCTACTTAGCATCATCTTCACTTTAATATTCATTCCAAAAATTTATACTGAGCACTCAATATGGCCAGACACAGTCCAAAGGACCAGTGCAGTGAATGCAACTGAAAGGTCCCTGCTGTCACAGAACTTACATTTTACTGGAGTAGGATAGATAATAAATGAATTAACAAAGTAACAACATATTATAATTTCAGAAAGTGTTAAATGTTATAAAGGAAATAAAATAGGGTAACAGCATTGAGTGGAAGATAAGAGTGGTGCAGGAAAAGCCTATTGGGCATTTGCTTTAAGCCCTGGAATGATGCTGGGCCTCAGCATATGCTGGTCTGGAGGAAGCGTGTTCCCTCAGGAGGAGCAGCAGGGCAACTGCCCCACAGCAGTTATGCGAACTCAGATCTCCTCTAATCAACATGTCCAAAGTGGAACTCTTGATGGCCCCCCACCACAAGCGCACTCCCCACTCTTCCTGATCTTAGGAAATGGTACTATCCCTTTCAAGGCAGGAACTTGTGTGTGTGTGTGTGTGTGTGTGTGTGCGCGCGCGCGCACGAGTGTGTGTAATGCTCTCTTCTCTCCATCATTGTACATTAGGTCTCTATCATCTCTCCCTTAGAATCAATTACTGCCTCATCTGTATTACCACAGCCTTTGTATATATACTTCATATATAGCATGTGTCAGTTTGAATCATTACTAGTGGTTTGCCCTGCAACCTTCGGAAGGGTGTTTTTCTTCCTTGAAATATTATGAACTCTGAATCAAGACTGTGACTTATGTATCTTACTTATGTTTGTGAAGCTGGTTGTCTGATTCGATTGTGTAGTCTGGTTGTCTCAATTGTACAAGAAGTGTTATATTACTTTATGTTTCTTAAAATATAATACGCTGCTCAGCTCAGGCTGAGACTCGAACTGCTGTTGCTCAGAGCTCACACTCTTTTTTTGTCTTTTTTGCAGGGGCTGCAGCCTACGCCACTGCCAGTGGCTCACAGCAGCCCAGCTCCACGTTGAGCTGTTGTTCAGCATCTTAGCTGTAGAGGGCAGTGTCACTGGCCCTCATATGTGGGGTCTGAACCGAGGCCCTCTGGCATCCCAAGCCAGCTCTTAACCATCGCGCCACTCGGCCGGCCCAGAGCTCGTACTCTTGAGCGATATAATACAACTATTTAAGACTCCAAAGCCCCAGCAACTCAGCCTCAGTCCACTTCAGGTCTCTCTGGCATCCTGTGAAGGTCCCAAGGTTTTGCACAAATCAAAATATTAGGGGAGGCCTTTCAGCCTTTACTCAACACTAGTTCCTCTCACTTGCTCTTACTCAAGCTCTTGAGGCACCTTAAAGACAAAGGTGGAAAAAAACCTCTCGAGAGCCATCTGATAATTCAGCTCTGCCCAGCTCCCTACTCCTGCCAAAAACATAAGGTTAAAAATGAAGAAAAGATAACGATCAGATTTCCTGACCAATGTGTCTGAGACCCTGACTTAATCATCATCCAGAAAGTTGAACTTTCACATGTTCACGAGAGCAGCTCTGAAACTTGGCTGCACACTACATCGCCCAGCCAGCTTCTGAAAACAGAACTTTGGGGCCCCACCCCAGGCCATTTGGGGCAAAACCTAGGCATCTGAGTTTTTAGAATTTTCCCCACATGATTACCCTGCCCTGTGAGGGGTGAGGACCACCAGGCTTGGCAAAACTCACTGGGAAACATATAAATGTCTAACAATGACCATCGTCACCTGCACAGGCGCTTCTTCCTCAGGTGCCTCTTGGTGGGCGGGCAGGTTACTCTTCTTCACCAGATAAGTTTTATGACTTATTTTTAAGTCCTCCTTTAACACAAATTACACACAGTCAACAAGATTGGTTCTGTGTCAGTTCCGAAGGCCCCTTGATGAACCTCCACCAAGGTCTGAATGGGATCTAGTGAGGAAACGCGTTCCGCCAGCTGGCTGAGGGACAATCAGTGGCAGTGGCTGGATCAAGTTCTCCTTGTGGACCCTTTTCCCGGTGACTGCTTGGGATTCCCCAATTCCCCAAGTGCTTCTTTCATGGTCTCTCTAGAAAAGCCCACTCTCCATCTTTTCTGGACTCCGGTTTCCCATCGCAGACCTACAATACTTGAAAAATAAGGCTGACAGTGGTACGAGGCTCCCCGCCATTAACCAGCCTCTGCTCTGGAGAGAACCACCTCTAACCCGCCTTCCCTGTTTCCCCCCAGCACTTCCAGTCCATCGTCTGAACCTTTGCGTGGTTCTTTCAGAATGCCGTCCTCCTTAGCTCTGCCTCTCTAAACGCTACTCCTTCTCAGACCCCATTTAGGCTCCACCTCCCTTCTTCCATGAAAACCTTTATCCTGCTCATCCTTACATGCACTTACAGAGTTTAACTATATTCAGTCTTTCTCAAAAAATGCTTCAGACATGTGCGTCTTATCTTTCCAATTACTTAGGAGTAGAACACATGCTAGAAACAGATTTTAGAGTCACGTATTTATTTAGTCTGCCTGGTGTGGATGAGTTACTTAACTTCTCTGTGTGGACAGTATATGAGATAGAGTATGTGAAAGCTCTAGGTCAGAGCCTGATACATACAACTGAATTGTACCATATGCTCATCTCATCTGTATGAATTCATCTACAGGCACCCAAGGGTGGGGAGATGGGGAGAGAGAGAAAGATCAATTTCAGCAGTGTGGATCGCTTACTCAGTGAGTGTGAGCTGAAGGGCAGGTGAGCTGGGAGTCCAGCTGTGTCTTGTCTGGTCTCAGTGCCCACAGGCCTCTCATAGGAGGAGCATATATACAATTAGAATTAGAATGACATACAGTTCCTTCATATATCCCACTTTTATATATAATGCAGGGCACTGAGAGTGCTGCTAGTGTTTAAATATTCATGTGTTTTGCATATAACATCGTCTCCAACACAGGCCAGCTATTTCATCAGGAGTTCTACTGAAAAAGCAGTGATCTGAGAGATGAAAGAATGACTTTCCAATGTGACACCTTTAAGGGATTTTCAATAACCATCTCAAATATGTCTTACATGGACTTTAGAATTTTCTCCCAGCATATGAGACTATACCAACAGTTGAATTCAGTAAATACAGGCTATTTTTCCTGCCTCATGGGTATGAACTTACTGCATCTAAGCCAGTTCTGGTGTAGTTTAGCTGCTCAGTCAATAGTTATTGACTGATTCATGAGAAAGACAATCAACAAGCATTTTTCATAACTGCCATGCCTAACTGAGAATCTCAGTTATCCTCATCGTCTGTGTAGCCTCAAGTAAACCATAACAAAGCAAAGCTTCAATTAGATCTGACAGCTTTCCTATTAAAAAAAAAAAGTTCGCATGATAAAGTTATCTTTTCTATGAGATTGTTATTTTTAATACCTGCTCAATTTAGTTAGCTCTAAATCAAGAGAACAATGTTTCCTTTAGAAGAATGAATTTATTTACCTCTGGCTCACTCCCCATCTTCTTTCTAATTTCCTTCATATCACTGTGGTACTGTAGGCGTATTTCCTCTAACTGCTTCCAATATTTCTGGAAAGCAATCACAATCCAAAATTTTTAAATATTTGCGAACAACTTCACAAAATAACCTCGATATAGCCTACAATTTAAAAAAGTGTGATATGTAATTAGAATGAAAAAACCTGTCGCTCCTAAAAACAATATTCCATCCGCCTTCCGTTTGGCTGTGGTACTTCACTCCCTGTGAGTAGTATGGCAGCTTGGGGTGATCTCACTTTTATATATAATCCCAAATGCATCAATGACACAATTACTTTATATAGCCCACTTTTATATATAATCCTGTTATGAGCAGAAAAGATAGGTGGAATTCTAATGCCCAGTAGCTCAGAATGTGATCTTATTTGAGTGTCATTGCAGATGTAATTAGCTAAGCTACAATAAGGTCTGGTCACACTGGAGTACACTAGGCTCCTAATCCAGTAGGACTCATGTCTTTTAAGAAGACAGCTATGTGAAGACAGAGACACAGAGGGAGAACGCCATATGACGAGAGCAGAAAATGGAGCTATCCAGCTATAAGTGGGGGATTGTCAAAGACTGCTGAAAAACCACCAGAAGCTGGAAAGAGGCAAAGAAGGGTTCCCCTACAGGTTTCTGAGGGAGTGTGGCCCTTGCCAACACCTTGATTTTGGACTTCTAGCCTCCAGAACGCTAAGAAATAAATTTTTATCATTTTCAACCACCCAGATTGTTATAGTTTAAGGCAGCCCTAGGAAACTAATACGAATTGCAAAACTGTTAACGATGGCAGTTATGTTATCAATCCAAGGTAAAAATGCCTTATGAACTTTGCTCTGCTGCATTCTCAGAGAAGGTGAGATATACATCTCTGTATGCCCTAAAACCTCCAGCATGGTGCTTCACAGGAGTGTATCCAACAAGTATTTGTGCAACAGGCTCTCTCAGGCATGTACTGTAGACAGTAAAAGTAACACCCTATTACAATCCAAAATACAATGATGTAAGTACAGGGGTGGCCCTGGAATCAGACTGTTTTTAACCTGTTCCTTCATTTTGTTTCTCTTGAACAGCCGCTCCTGGAGTCTGGGCTCTTCTCCATTACTTCTCACCTCTTGTCTTCTGTTGTGATTTGGCTCAGCAGAAGATGGACGAAGACCCTATTATTTGAATGAAATAATTTATAAAACATACTTGCATTTTGGAAACATTCTGATTTGACCTTGACCTTTTCCTTTAAACAATAATTATATCACTACACAGACAATAGTTTGTGGTTACCAAAGGGTAAGGGGGAAAAGGGTGGTAGATGAAGGTAAAGGGGATCAAATATATGGTGATGGAAAGAGAACTGACTCTGGGTGGTAAACACACAATGTGATATATAGATGACGCATTACAGAATTGTACACCTGAAATCTATGTAACTTTACTAACAATTGTCACCCCAATAAACTTTAATTTAAAAAAGGGGAGGGGGGAATAGGAAGAATAAAAAAAGAATTATATCACCAATCAAACTCAATATTTGGGAGTCTTTTGTAGTGAGCAGTAGAATTTTCTTAAGTATGAAATATTTAAAAATTTTAAAAAAGTAATAAAACCATTTGTGTTGTTTATCCAAAACAATATTTTATGCTACCATATAAGACACCTAGATTCTTTTTCTGAACTGCCAAATTATAACTGTTAAATTAAAATTCAGTAAAAGTTTAGCAACCCCTGGAACATGAGATTAGGTTAGGAGAATAGAACTACAGCTTTTTAGCAATTCTAAATAAGAGCAATTGAACTCGGCATCTTGAGCTGAGCTGCCACTCGGATGGCTCAGTGGATAGAGCATGCGCTGTTAACAGCAAGGTTGCCAGTTCAACTCCCGCATGCAAAACAAAACAAAACAAAATAATAATAAGAGCAATACAAATAGGATGCATATCCAGTCTCCCTCAGTTCCCAAATTTTGACACTATACTTAATGGTAAAGGTTAACTTTCATTTCAAATAAAATACAGTAGTGACTTTTTAAAAATGTGTAGAATTTTAATAAAATAGAATCAAAGAATTGTAGCACTGAAGGGAACCTTGAAGCTCATCTACTCCAAAACTATCATTTATAGAAAAGGAAATTGAGGCTCAGAGAGGTTGCATGACCTGCCTAAGATCGCACAGCAAGTGTTAGAGCCAGCAAAGAAAGAAGCCAAGCTTCCCAGACCCTGAAGCAAGCCTATTCCAATTACTTTTCTTTAATCTATTAAAAAACTAAGGTGGAGGGTAGACTTGATCTTCTATGTGGAATGAACTTTGACTTACGGATCCATGAATATTTGTGAACAGAGACACAATTAGGAAATTCCTGATTGCCTCGCATATTTGGTATTTTACTCACCAATTGCTTTTCCACTTTCAACTTATATTGTTGAGCTTCAAATTTCCTCTGAAGGTATTCAGCAGGCCTTAGGAAATAAAAATTTTCAGTTTGAGTAGAAATTTTAACTAATCTTAGACATTGATTTCACCAGTGGATTTTCAGGTTAGTAATAAGATTCACAATTCACCTGTGACTTGAAGTTCTGAGTTCAAAAAGTAGTTCAAAGTTTCAGAATGTGTACATTGGGAAAGAAGATCTTTGGAATCAAGAAGAAAAGGGGATAAAGAGAATTGTAACAATTGGGGATCCAGGAGATAATAAAACAGAAAAATATTCTGATCCAGTGATTTTTTTCTTCAGGACTGGATCTGTCCTTCCAGAGTCCATAATACATTGGAGGGAAAAAAACAAACCCATCTCAGGATCTTCTCAGACTCTGGGCAGGTATCTGATCTACAGCCTTGTCAACCCTGGTTTGACTGATGGCTCCTAGTCTGTTTCCTGCACTACACTCTGACCTTATGCTAGCCTATAAATGCTTAATGAATAAAAAATGAGGTTTTAGCTGACTCTCACAACATTTAAGGTATTTTTCCAGCACAATTCTGGTCAAACCATCTTCAGATTTATACCTATGTTCTATATGTTTATCTTTTTTGCAGAATTTCCTGCTAAGAATTCCTGTAATTACTAATTGTTAAATGGAAACTACCACATTTCAGATAATAGTATGACCTACGAGTATATGACAAAGTTGTTTGGAAAGACAGAGCTATCATTTCAGAAATAACTTCTTTAGGAACATCATGATGAGCAGTCTGCAGTTTATGAAGAGTCAAATTAATAAGTCAGTCATTTAGAAATGTGATAGAATGACAAGCTAGTTAAGGTCTCTGGGCCTTAGTTCCTCATATATAAAATGAGCACAATGCTATCTCATAGGGGCTGTTATGAAGATGAGAAGAGATTAGGTGTGTTCAGGTGCCACCTGGCCAGTGTCTGATACAAATAGTGCTGGAATCAAATGAGGCTAACGTGTAGCACTCATCTCTCTCAGAGACCTAAGTGGTGTGTATAACAATATCTCCATGAGAAAAACTATTCAGTCACACAGGGGCTGTCCAAAATACATTCTCTCTCTCTGTGTGTCTCTGTCTCTCTGTCTCTCTCTTTGTCACACACACACACACACACAAACACACACACACACACACACCCCAACCCTATACAGATTCCTCTTCCTCCAGAGAAGTATATCAAGACTTGATTCCCACGTAATCTGAGCTCAGATAGAGAGAAAGCTGGGGGTTGGGGGGTGGGATTACTGGTCAAGTCATCAGAGGGGCATCCTGGGATGCAGTAGGATGGGGCCTATGATGGGCAGCATACAGGAAAGAGAAGGACTTTTCTACCATATTATGTGAGAGTTTGGGAGATAAAATCATGAATAATCAAAATAATTGATAGGGGTCGGCTGAATGGTGCATTGGTTACGAGTTGGCTTGGGACGCTAGCTCTGAGCAGCAGGACCCCAGTTCAGATCCCCCATTAGGGCCAGTGACGCTGTGCCCTCTACAGCTAAGATGGTGAACAACAACAGCTCTACCTGGAGCTGGGCTGCTATGAGCCGCCGGTGACAGCGTAGGCTGCAATGGGGCTGCAGTGGGGCTGCAGTGGGGCGGCAGTGGGCTGCTGTAAGCTACCATGAGTGGCTGGCAGCCAGCGTGAGAGGCTGTCCAGTGGCCGGCGAGCGACTGCCTCACCCAGGAAGAGTGCAATGATATTACCAACATGGGCCAGTGAAGCAATGTCCTCCAAAACTAGACTGAAGAACAAAAGGATAGCAACTTGTCTGTTGCCCTCCCCCAATTCCCCAATAAAATTTTTTAAAAAAAGAAAAAGATAATTGATAGTTTGATAGCTCTCATGTCTAGACAAAGAGTAGGAGACATTTTCCCAGTGGCTGAGAAAGGGAAAGGGAGTTTTGTGGCTTCACCTATGTAAAATATATATCACTCATTAGTTGAGTCTTATATGAATATTATAATTTGAACTAGTGGAACACATAATTTTGATGATCATGGAGGTAATTAAAAATGTGTTATGTAGGTGGATAAAAGTATAATGGTACTCAATACCTTTAAAAATAAAATGTCTACTCTTTCCATAGCTAACCTTTTCATTAGCTATCTGTTAGGCTCACCATCACATAGTGTCTCATGTTTTTCATTATTTATCCAAAATCTCAACAATAAATAAGTCACCAAAAGTTAGCAAATTTCCAACCCTGAAAGCAAAAAATGTGATGGCAAAAACACTGTTTAAAAAATACTCTCAGACTTAGGTCTTCAAACCAATGGATGGATGTTGATTATTCTGAATGCAGGAACACTGACATTGGTGTGAAATAAACAATGGAAAATATCGCAGATATGCAGAAATTTGTTATGGAGTAAACTTTTTGAAAGTCTGCCATAAGAGCAGTTTAATCATATTATTTTCTTTCTAATACATCCATATTCTTAAAATTCCCCAAAATATAAATGTTGAATGAAATATATTTCACTTTCAAATATGTCTCAAATGGTAATTTGATTATAATTCAATTATTATTGATAAATATTAATAACCTCTTGGGAAAATGATAAATATACCACTATTTTCATGAGAAATTTACTCGAAGGAAGAAAATAAACATTAAAAATTCAAGAGTATGACGCCGTGCCCGTAGTTAAATAACTGCATGAGTTAGAAGATAAACTACATCAGATTTGAGATGACAAAGGATCAAGGGATTATTGGGGTATCACTTCATAAATTATACAAATGTCTAATCACTATGTTGTACATCTGAAACCAATATAATATTATATGTTAACTGTAATTAAAAATTCTTAAAATTTTAATGAAAATTAAAAAAAGAAAATGGGTCAAGGGAACTATGAATTAAGTATATAAAATATAGCATTTGGAAGTTCTTAGGTTATTTTAGGAGAATGGAAGGATTGCAGAGTAAAGAATATTGATATATCAAGATGTTTTCAGAGGAACAAAGTTTAAGTTAGACTGTCATGTTACCATTGACCTGGTGATGCACTGTGGCTTTCTTCCTGACTGTAATCCTCCTCAACTTCAGTATCTTTTTGAGGAACACAATGGTAACTTGGTTTGTGGGCTCGCTTCCTCAACATGTCAAGTTGAGCATGGTAATAATCATAATGGCCACACACCACAGCAGGTTTGGGCCTTTCTATCATTTTTATCTGAGGGATTAAAAAGAAGAGAGAATATTTTTAAAAATACATAATACAAATCTGTAATAATTGACAGCTTGATAGTGACTGTTGCTAAGACAAAGCATTGAAGGTATATTTTTGTTGTTTTTGCTCTAGAATTGTTTTTAGATTAAAATAATCTTAGAATCCCCAAATCCTAGAATTGAAAAAGATTTTAGAAGTCAATGGTATAGTATATATATATATATAATATATAGTTTATATATATAATTTATATATATAAATTATATATATATATATATATATATATAATATATAGTTTATAATTTTGCTAGGATATGGGTATGACTTATGCATACTTTATGGCTAATATGTCAAAAAAGCTAGTGAGTACCACCTAGCCCATCCAAGATCTGAAATTAAACTCAGTATTATCATTTTCTGTTTTTCATAAACTTATGTACACAATACTGTATTTTATGGAAGAATAAATGTTATTGTGTAACTCACAAATTTGGGGATTTGCAACATTTTAGGTTCTACTAAATTGACTAAATACAAAATGGCACCATGAGTTGAAGAAAACAAAATGATGAGTTATTCAGACATTCTAACCCAGTAAACACAAGCAAAGTCATGTAACAGCTGTAACAGACATGTTACCATCCCAAACTATACCTCACCACCCTTCCCAACCAGAACAGAATGAGAGAAGGAGAACCAGAAACAAATGTTTATCTTAGAGTTGAGTAGACACCAATGAGGTGGAAGACAAGAATCAGACCAAATTAACATATGAAAACCAGTCAAGACCTTATTGCTAAATAGCAAAGTAGGGTCAATTTAACATTTATCAGAACAACCTTGCCTACTCAACAGCTGGTAACAAAAGAGAAAAAGAAGGTCAAATTATTGGAAAGACCTAAAACTGGCAGTTGGAAATATGAATAACCAAATGAGTGGTTAAAACTAAAATTTCCTCACTGTAAAAAAGTAACATACTATATTTTTTCTTTTTAATGCTATGTGGTTTTTTTCCATATATTTTAATGTTTTATACATATATTTATTTTTATATTTATACGTATAAATATGTATTAAATTGAACCATAATTATAGATATTTGTCCATCTTCAACTTATAAAAAGGCACTTTCATATAGTTCTATTTAAATATAAAACATATAAAATTTGATTTATTAGTCTAAATATAAATTCTATATTTATTTTTTAAATATTTAAAGTATGAAGTAGTTTTCTTAATTATATAATTTTACCTATATTCAACCCAAAAGAAGATACCAGTAATTGCTTGTTGAAAAATGGTTAGAAATAAAGAAAAATGTTGGAAGGAAATAAACAGCTTCTTTAGGATTTTCTCTAAAATCCCAAATTGTAACAGAATCAGAGATGGTTCCTGTGGAGATGCATTAATTTCACTGTATTAGCAGACGCTTGCAAAGGATTAGAAAAATGTCAATTTGTTCTCCTAACTTAATCCACACTCAGATCTTTCAGATATTTTTTCTCTCCTACAGGTCTGCTATAGAGTATTCTAAGTCAATACATACTTTTAAAATTTATTTAATAAAGTTAAACCACCTTCTATCATAATAGCAATAATTTAATAGTTTCAAAAATCTATTGATTCCTTAAACACATTTTCTAAAATGTCTACACAGCAAGTAAACACTTAGTAAATGTACTTCTAAATGGTCCTCTAATTATACCATGAGCCTTCTTTAAAAATACAATTCTTCGATTAAAAGATAATAACCATTTTATTATTTATTTACCAGAAGCATTTCACTAGCATGAACTAAAAGATTCAACACTCTGCTGAAGTGGATTCAAATAACTAAGCATAAAGAATCTCTAGAAAAAGATCAATGATTATATAATAAAAAAAAAAATCCCTCCATTATATATAACATGTCAGAATTAAGAGTACGAAATGCATGTTTTCTGCCACTATACTACTCACCTGTCTTATATAGAAAAACCCTATTTATTTAAAGAAATTAAAAGAATTTTAGTTATAAAAAGAAAACTAAAACTAATATATAGAATACTGGTAAGAAAATATAGCATTGTTTTAAAAAATACAGCTAGAAGTTGTCAAGTGAATTACCACGCTAAAGCTCATTACAGAAATATGTTATTATAAGTTCAAAACCTGTGGATTCCAAAGTAATGACCTTGTACCACTTGAACATGTGCAAGTACGTTTATAGAATATACTATCTGCTAAAAAACCAGAAGGGTTTAGTATGACTTACAGATGTGGGCTTCTGAGCTCCAACTGGTGGTTTCCATTCATTTCTATATACTAAATCCTTCCTTTTAATTGGCACTGATATCCTTGATCTTGGGAGGCACTTCCCCTGGAATTTCACTTTCTGTATTTCAGAATCTTATTTAACCAAAATAAAATAAGTTCAATTTTTTAAAATTTCCACATCTTTAATATTGTTGCTTGTGAGAAATATAAACATAAGGGATATTTCACAGCACAGTAAGTTTACTTTACCCAAAGATATTTAATCCCAGTGACAGAAGTTCTGATGGAAAATTATTATGTCTTTTCTTTGAATGGAGAAAACTATTTTTTCCAGGGTTCCTTTAGATATTTATAGTACTACATAATACTACTTTAAAAAAAATAAGAATTAATGTTAACATTTACAGAAACATTATGCAAAAGACAATGGCACAAGTAATTAAAAGTAGTCATCAGAGCTTGGATAATCAGGCCACACCATTCATGTCACATTATTGTTTGAAATACACACAGTGTGGTCGAAAATACAGTGAATGCTGCTGCTGAGTGCCATCCAATGAAAAGGCAGGGATCTTCAATATGGGAAGCAGTGCATTGAACCTTAGTAACAGTGTGTGACAAGTTTCAACTTGTTTAGTGCAGTCAGTCGGGTGTGAGCTATGGTTGAGGGAAGGTGTATTTTAAAGTGTGCTGTAAATAATGGATCATGAACAATGCATTAGCATGAAATTTTGTGTCACACATCACTTCTGGTACGGCAATTTCTGTCAAATAAAAACACTGTGGGGCCGGCTGTGTGGCGCGTTGGTTAAGAGTTGGCTTGGGTGTGCGAGCTCTGAACAGTGGGGCCCTGGTTCGGATCCCACATGAGGGCCAGTGATGCTGTGCCCTCTACAGCTAAGATGGTGAACAACAACTCGATCTGGAGCTGGGCTCCCGTGAGTCGCCAGCGACAGTGTAGGCTGCAGTGGGGCCACAGTGGGCTGCTGTAAAGCTACCGTGAGTGGCTGGCAGCCAGTGTTGAGCGGATGACAGCCAGCATGAGCTGCCAAGAGCCGCCATGAGCTGCCGTCCAGTGGCCGGCAACCGATCTGCCTCAGCCGGGAAGAATACAGTGATAATACCAACATGGGCCAGTGAAGCAACGCCCTCCACAACTAGACTGAAGAACAAAAGGACAGCAACTTGTCTGTTCCCCTTCCCCAATTTCCCAATAAAATCTTTAAAAAACAAAGAAACATAAAAAACACTGTGGTGTGTCCTCATCCACCTTATTCACCGGATCTAGCACCATGTGACTTCTGGCTCTTCCCCAAAGTAAAAATGGCCATGAAAGGTAAACGTTTTGAATCGATTCAGGACATTAAGGCAGTCACAACAGTGCAACTAAAGACACTCACAGAAGAGAACTTCCAGAACTGCTTCAGAAAATGGCAAGAACGATGGAATAAGGTGTTCAAAGTGAGGGGGAGTATTTTGAGAGGGATTAATGGCCATGTGTCTTTTACTGTAATACATTTTTTAATTAAACATTCACCGTAGTTTTTAATCACACCTCATCATATAAGGTTTCTAAAATGTTTGTCTTTGTCACCATCAAAATTTGTTCTTGTTTTCCTATCTTTTCCTATATTATAAATGTTTACAATGCACTTTCTCTCATCCTTTACTTATCTACTTTCTAAACACTCTCAACCCAAACCAATACATAACAGTGCCAAACCAAATTAAACATGGCAACAGGGCTCATTCATTCATTTTCTCTTTATAGCTTTCCTCAATTTTAGTTTCTCTACCACAGTGGATAGTATTTACCTATCACCGATTTCTTGGAGTCATTTCCTACTCCTCCTCATTCTTTAAGTTCAGTTTGGTTATGGCTTAACCCTGCTCCTCTTAATTTCACAACATCAACTGAATTAGTAATTTTCTCTTCTTTAATCTCTCTCTCTCTCTCTCTCTCTCTNCTCTCTCTCTCTCTCTCTCTCTCTCTCTCTCTCTCTCTCTCTCTCTCTCTCTCTCTCTCTCTCACACACACACACACACACGCGCGCGCGCACACACAAACACATACACAACACTTCATCACTTCATCAGCTGATTCCTGACATTACAATTTTCCCTACTTATCATTACCATAAAGTATCACATGCTTTCTTTGGGAGTCACATAATAACAGTTCTCCCACTCTTACTGATTAGGTCCAAAATCCTAACTTCAGCTCCAGTGGGCCTTTCTGAGATAATTCTTAATCACCAATCTATTCTCTCTATTTAAAAATGAAATAAACTTCATTTCATCATCTCATGTGTGTCTGTGAACCTTCTCTTACTCTCGATCCTGTCCCTACACAAAAGTTAAGTTTGGAGTCTACCTCGTCAAACATCTCTTCATTAGCAAATCTACCACTTCATGAAGTTTTCCTTACTAATAAGCAGAGAGGAGATGATTCCTCCAGGTCATACATGAACTAGATATACAGGCACACCCAATAGTCACCACTGGACAAGATGATTTTTCTGCTGCTTATACTGCTCATATTTTTTAAATGTCCATGTTCAATACAGTTGGTGAAATTTCCCTGCTAATGTTGTCATATTATTAATGTAACATATTATGACTCACCATGTGAGATACATGTAATAAATGTTTTTTGATTGCATAGTTAAATCATTCATACCTTGGACTGCCTTCCCAGCAGGTTGAGAAACTGACGATCTTGCTCCACATATGAGGTTGTGATTAAATTCTTCCTGAATGGCCTAAAACCGAACATGAGTCAAGGACCTATTAACTGAAATCTCTGTCAAAATCCAGGCAGAACAACCTCAAAACTCACCTCAGGAGTCATGTACTTGGCAATAAGATTCTCTAAAAAGGGCTTTTTCAAAATGGAATTAATAGATGGCCGATCTCGGGGAGATACTTGAAAGAGCTGAGATATCAAGGACCGTAGGTCACGGGAAAACCTTGGAGATACTGGGACAAAATGTGCTTGACAAATCTTTAGAACCAGCTGATGTAGGTTGTTACCCTCAAACTGAAAGGATAAGAAATAGTAATACCAAATTAGAGAAAAATCCAATACTAGTATTTAAAATAATAACATCATGAAACAAAACAAATTATAAATGCTTCAGTTACAAGCACCATGGTCCACCCTAAATTGTTTTCATCAACTAATATTTCATGAGTAGATATTGTAGGCAATTACTCAATGAGATGGCATGTTATTTATGACAAGACTCTTTTAGTGTTAATTTTTTCTTATAATCAATATTTACTCATAAAAAACTGGAAGGTACAGGAAGTTATAAACAGTCAGGGAAAATATGTATAATTTCACTACCCAGAAGTATGTTACCTCCTAATCTTGTTTAAAAATAATGTTTATTTTATAAAGTTGAGGTCATAATGATACAAAATTTTATATCTTGCTTTTTAAATTAGCATAATATAAGCATTTTCTCAAAAATTCTTCAAAAACCAGAAAGTCTTCCATAGTATGAAATCACCAGTTACTTACAAATATAGTTACACATTATATAACATTTCAGTCAACCATGGACTGCACACATGATGGTGGTCCAATAAGATTGCAATGGCTTAGATCAGAAACAATGCAGCATGAGGGGTCCCTCTTGATCGCTCCCCTTGAAGTTACAAGTTAAACAGCTATAATTCAACAAAGGATTCCCTGTGCAACACACAAACATGTCTGAAAGATCTGCACATAGAAACATCTGAAGGTGGGTAACTAGGGATGAACAGGGAAAGAGGGAAAGGACAAGAGCAGAGATGGATGCCATAGGCGCAGCCTGGAGTTCACTGTGGTCCCCGGAAAGGGGAGGATTCAGCTTGCAGGTGCACTGTCTGTGGCTCTGAGCTTTCCTGCCTGAGTGATCAGCATATAATAAGGCTGAACCCAGCGATTGGAACAAAGACCAAAAGCAGAAGTGCAATAGCTGTGGTCTAGCAGCCCTGCTGCCAGGCCAAGAACAAAGCCACAGAGCTGGGCAGCCTCTCCTCACTCTCCCAGAGCTCACCTCCCCACACTTTCCCAAAGCAAGCATGGCACCGCAGAAAAAACTATAGCAGTGAGTGTCAGGTTAAAGAGCAGAATATCTACAGCCCTGAAACTGGAGAGACAGTTCCTGAGCAGCAGACTCACACTGTGGCTATTCCTAGGGACAAAGGTGGAGATAGAGAGGTGAAGCAGCTGAGGTCTGGCAGTCGCCATTACTGGGAGTTGAACAAAGCCACAAACACACCAGCAGCCTCTCTCATTTCACCCCACCCCGATCTTTCATGGCTAATCCCAGCAGGGGCACCTGTGACACCTCAGGCAGCACAGCACTGCATCTGGCTGCAGGGGCAGCACTAGAATTTCAGGGGCTCAGAACCCCATCACCTATCATATTCTCCCATGGTGGTGGTGCCCTGAGACGTAAGCGACAGGGTCACCCATCTCCCCAGGGAATATAAGGTATCTTCCACTACAAGAAGTCAGAACAGCTCAAGAGAAAATAAAACATTCTGTTGCCACCTACTGGAAAACCAAAGAAAGACTTCTTATTAACCTGCTCCAGAGCTCATTTCCATAGATGCCAAAGCAGAGAAATGATCCATCAAAATCAATGAACAACCAAGGTAACAAGGTAGCTCAGAAAAAAAAAAAGAAAGAAAAATCTCCAGAAGATGAACTTAAACATGGAAATATGTGGCTTAAATGACAGAGAATTCAAGATTTCAGTTCTGAAAAAAAAACAAAAACCAACAAGATGCAAGAAAACTCAAATAGGTGGTTTGATGAACTCAGGAATAAAATCAATGAACAAAATGAATACTTTACCAATGAGATTTGAATTTTTAAAAAGAATCAAATAGAAATTCTGGAACTGAAGAACTCAATAAAAGATATGAAGAGTGAAATAGTGAGCTCAGGAAATAGAGCAGACCAGATGGAAGAAAGAATTGGTGATATCAAAGACATCATGATGCAGATGGAAGAAGACAGAGACTTGAGAGTAAAAAAAATAAAAGAACTCTATAACAACTATCTGACTTCATCAGAAAAAGCAACATAATAATAGTGGGTATACCAGAAGGAGAAAAGAGGGAGAGGAGAACAGAGAGCTTATTCAAACAACTAGTCAACAAGAATCTCCAAAACCTATGAAAAGAACTGGACCTTCAAATCCAAAAAGCAAACAGAACACCTAATTATCTCAATCCAAAGGCCTTTTCCAAGGCACATTATATTAAAACTGTCAAAAATTAATGACAGAGAAAGAATTCTCAAGGCAGCCAGGGAAAAAAAGACAGTAACCTATAAAGGAAAACCTAGTGGATTATCATCAGATTTTTCAACAGAAACTCTAAAAGCTAGGGGGGAGTGGAATCAAATATTCAGACTATTAAAAGAGAATAATTACCAGCCAAGAATGAAGTACCCAGCAAAGTTATCCTTTAGGTATAAAGGAGTAATAAAGATGTTTCCAGACATACATAAGCTGGGGGAATTTTCCACCACAAGTCCTGCATTACAGAAAATAATGAAGGGGGGATTATTTTACCTGAAACAAAAAGACAAAAGGATACAAAACTATGAGTAAGATGACTAACAGACAAACAGAAGCAGGAAATGGCAACTCCTATTCAGAATAGGGTATTATACACTTAAATAAAGGTTAAAGGGGTTAAAATCATAAAAAAGAAAAAGAGAAGAGGAAGACAATTGCTAAAGAAATGAAGAAATGAACTCATAGCATAAATAAAGATAATTTGTGACAACAAAACATAAAAGGGGAGGGGGGTGAATGTATGAATTTGCAAAAGGGAATGGAGATAAGATGCATACAGAATAAAAGGGACGACTATATATGAAACTTTCTTTTGCATAAACAAATTAGTTTCAGGTGTACAAAACAATGTAATAGTTAGACATTTACTCCCTTCACAAAGTGTTAACCCCCCTCCCCCAATCTACTACCCCTCTGACATCATATATAGCTGTTACAATTCCATTAACTCTATTACTTATGCTGTACTCAACATCCTGTGACTATTATATATATATATATATATAATTATAGTTGACATTCAATATTATTCTGCTTCAGCTTCAGGTGTACAGCACAGTAGACAGGCATCTACACGATCCATGAAGTGATCTCCCTGATAAGAAAAGTACCCATCTGACACGCTACAAAATCTTTACAACATTATTGATTATATTCCCCAAGCTGTCTTTTGTATCCCTGTGGCAATATTGTGGCTACCAATTTGTGCTTTCTAATCCCCTCACCTTCTCCCTCATCCCCACCCCTCTCCCATCTAGCAACCATCAGTTTTTTTCTCTATATCTCTGAGACTATTTCTGGTTAGTTTGCTCATGTATTCTGTTCTTTAGATTCCACATATAAGTGAGATCATATTGTTAATGGTAACCACTCAAAAAAAATCCAGAACTGAGACACATAACATAAAAAAAGAAGAAAACAATCATAGGATACCACCAAACTAAAATAACAGATGGAAACACAAGGGCAAAGAAACAATGGAGAAACTGAACTATAAAATTAAAGGTAAAATGGCTATAGGAAATCCTCATATATCAATAATCACCCTAAATGTAAAACTCACCAATAAAAAAGCACAGAGTAGCAGATTGGATCAAGAAAACAAAACTCAACCATATGTTGCCTTCAAGAGACACATCTCAGCTGCAAGGACAAATATATTGGGTTGTCAGAAAAGTCATGACGTATTTATTCTATTTTTTTGTTGCAAAAATGCGTCATGACTTTTCCGACAACCCAATAGACTCAAAGTGAAAGGGTAGAAAATGATACTCCAAGCAAAATGGCATCCAGAGAAAAACAAGTGTAGCCATACTTATATCTGACGAAATAGACTTCAAGATAAAAAAGGTAACAAGACACAAAGATGAACATTTCATAATGATAAAGGAAACAATACCTCAAGAAGACATAACACTTATCAATATATATGCTCCAAATGAGGGAGCACTAAACTATATCAAGCAACTACTAACAGAACTAAAGGGAGAAACTGAATAAAACACAATTATAGTACGGGATCTAAACACCCCATTGACAGCTGTGGATCGATCGCCCAAACAGAAAATCAATAAGGAGGATTCGAGGGGAAACTGGCAGCTTTGAGGAGGGTTCCCTGAGTTCTCCCCTGGAAAATCGCCGCATTTCAACTGCTGTAACTCTTCAAACGGACCTCTACTCAACACAGAGCAGCTAAGAGACTCGCATGCCGATTATCGGAAGGTGGGCACACCGGGGGAGTTGGGGAAAAGGAAGGCGAGACACATGGAGGCGCAGCCCGCACCCCCGGCTGCTGAGACACGCGGCCTCAGAGAGAGCAGATCGGAGAGTGTTCCCGCCGCTCGCTCCCTGCGCCTCGCGACCCACCTAGAGTGTAGCGGGAGTGCAATGCTTTGCAGTCTGAGGCAGAAGCCTTGGACTGCGAGAGTGGGGGAAGAGAGAGAGGAGACGTGGGTGCAGAGGCGAGGTCCACACCCACGGCTGCGGAGCCGCAGGACCCCAGGAGACAGAGCGGAGAGTGCTAAAGGGGACAGGGCTCAGTCCCTGTGCCCACCCGGTCCAGCCGGGAGTGCAACAGGAGCTCCGCAGCATGCAAGCCTCAAACCCAGAGAGCGGGGGGAAAAGGGAAGCGAGATGCGTGGAGACGCAGTTCACACCCACAGCTGCGGAGACGTGAGACCCCAGGAGGCAGAGCGGAGAGCGTTGCAACAACAGGGTGGGCTCAGTCCCTGAGCCCCTGCGCCCCTGTGGTCCCTCCCAGAGTGCAGTAAGAGCTCGGTTGGAGCCTCTGAGGCAGAAGCCTTAGCTCAAAATGATGGTGGGACTTTTTTTTTATTTTTTTCTTTTTTTCTCGACAGAAAGCAAAAAAAAAAAAAACTGCATAGATAGGAACCCACTCCCACCCTCCCTCAGAAACCTTGGCCCCCGCCATGCCAGAGTCTTAAGCTGACCCCTGAAT